TATTCTCTCTTTATAAAACGTTTTTCTTCCTTTTCACATCTAGAGAAATATAATATTCTGCCTTTTCAATATTTCATAGGATGTTTCATTTTTCTGGGGGAGGGCTGGGTGATAACTTTCCACAATATTATTTAACTTTAAAAAAAAATCATATGAGTGGTCCGTGGGATTTAAAATTATGAATTTAGTGGTCCCTGAGGTCCGAAAGGTTGGTGACCCTTGCCTTAGGGTTTCCATCCATCCCTACCTGTGGATTTTAGGCCCAGCTGCACAGTACACTGACTGACCACGGGGCTCTTCTCGTGACTTCTCACCAACCAAGGTCACCGCAGCGGCGCAGCCCTACGCGGGCCGCCGCCTCCACGCGCCCGAGGCTTGTCCGCGGAAAAGCCTGCCCGCCTCCGCCGCCTCTCTCAGACAAGGCGCGAGCCGAAGGGGCGGGGCGTGGGCGTGTGGGCGCCGCCGGGAAGGGGAGCGTCTGATTGGTCGAGGGAGCGCGAGGTGAAAGGGCGGCCTAGGCACCGAAGACAGAATCGCGGCCGAGCATGATGGCGGCGGCGGCGGCCTCTCTGTGCCGGGGCAGCGCTTGGCAACAGTGGCGATACAGGCATCTGGAGCGGCTCTTCGTGTCGTCAACGGTGAGGCGGCTAGCGGGCGGTTGGCTGCTACCTACTTAGGGAATATATCGCCCGCCACAGCGGGGCGGGAGCAGGCAAGCAGGCAGGCGTTCTCCCCGCAGAGCAGCTTAAGGCGCTGGAGACCGGAGCGCCGGTCCTTCTCCGGCCCACGTTTGGGACAAGGCTGCATTTGCTGCGCCAAGAGCGGTCTGGAGGGAGCGGGTGGATTGACGTGCATATGAACCCGGCAGATGGGACGCCTGTCTCCGTGGGTCTTCTCTTGCCTGACGGTTTGCAACTGCTCTGTTCTACTGTCTGGCTTTTGGGGACTACAAATCCAATCTGGAAACAGGCGTTCTGGGTGTGGCGGATGGGATCTGAAGCTGCATTAGACTGCAAGGCGGAATGGTACTACGATATATGCACAGGTTCCTGCAGAGGGAGGAAGGAAGGAGTGCATTGTATAAATTGCTCGGGAGAGGCTTATCTGTACCTGGTTTTTCCGGCTTGGTCTTGAGGTTAGTGCTGGCTAAAACATCGCCGCTGTTCCTCTGTTCTTGTGGTGATAACATACATGAAAGGACGTGATGCATGGCAGCTGAATCGGATAAAATAATGCAGAAGAGAAGAAGTATGTTTAGGTAGAGTTATGGAAGTTTAGATTTCTATCATAATGAGTATAATCTCACTTACACTTTATTTAACAGCATGTATTACTGAAATCAGTGCTATTGTTGGTACAGATACACTGGGACATACATCCATACATTCATACCCATACATACTTTAATTAATCAAGTTGATTCCAAAAGTGATCTGGGGAAAGCTACGTTGCATGTTATCGCTCTGAACGGTCCTATTTTTTTTGGGGGGGGGGGTTACAGGAAACCTTTTGTAGAGGTGAACAAGGAACAGTCTGAGCAGTCTTCCAAACAGCCAGGGTCAGGCAGATACAATCTGTCCTTTGTAATTTTTAACTGGGTTCTTAATGAATAGTAATCACTTCTCTTCTATTTGTTCCTTATTGGCTACACTGAAATCTGTAAAGTCTGTTTCTGATGTTTTAAATATTTTTTGCATAGTTTGGTTCTAAAATGATTTTCAGAGACACATCTCAGTGATGCTCTTGCTCTAAAGCATTTGTTGTATTCACTTGGTGAAATTTGTCTTTAAATAATTAATTAACCAGATGTATTTTTTTTTATAGAAGTAAGGGATTAAAATGACAGGTTAATACAGTTGAATTGTTTTTCAGGATCTATTTTACACAGAGAAAGTTAATCTTGTTATGTTAATCAGATTCTGATATATGTGCTAATATGTTGTTTCTTCAGTATTGATGATACTGTATATGTTGATCTTTTATATTTTCCACAAAGATTTATATCTTTTTAAAACAAGGCTGATCTGATATTCTTTGGATTGAAACATTCTTCCCAGGTTGTACAGAAAGACTGGTTTTATTCCTCATTGGTTAAAAACAGTTCACAAATGCTGAAGACTAGAGATCATACAACAATAACATGAAGAAAACATATTCATTGAAATGCCCAATAATTAATCTAAGTGACTGTGTTTGATTGTGGTAGTATATCCAATGAATTTTTCAGTGTGAGATAAATAATAGAGAAGTTAATTTAAATATGCACATTTGTTAACTCTAGCAATAGCAGGTTTCTTTTTGGTTTTGATTGAATTGATTAATTGATTATTTCTAGTGTTCTTTATATGTTGATTATGATAGTCTGTTTTTACTATATTTTTTGATTTGATTTAAAGTGGGAGGTATGCTGCTCCAAAGTTTATAATTGAAGAGGCCTATAAGCCTAATAAAATAAATACATAAATGAATAAAATAGAACTAATACAATGTATTATAATGAATAATGTAATATAATGAATAATTATAATAAAAAAGGATCTGGGAAAATCATATTATAAGCAGTAATCCAGAATATTTTATTATATTGTTTAAAATACTTCCTTGTCCATCCTAATTTAAATTCTGACAAAGATCATGTATCAGCAATCTGTTGCTGAAAATCAGATGTAGATTTTTCTTTCTAAAGATATTTTTATGATTATTCTTTTGGCTTTGTTTACTGTTTTGGGAGCAATCATTTCTAAGGAAATGCCCTGTTTAACCTAGAAGAATATTTCAAGTTGAAGAGAATAAATGTATAAAAACAAACATGTTTTATTTGTTAATTCCACTTAAGATATTGTAAACAATTTGACAAATTAATGGTAAATTTCTTGAGAAATGGTCAGGCACTTAAATATCTTTCTTAAAGGTTCAGCTTACATGTGATAATGCTGTTATACATTTTTCAGATTTCAACTTACATCATTTTTTTTGGATCTGATTAATGATCTATAAGTTATTATCTGTCATCCTTGAAACTCTTGCAAGTACTTGGTTCTAATTATAGATTTCAAAACTGAAAAGAACCCCTCTATTTAAAATTGCAGGTGAAACTTTTTGGGGTGGTATATGCATAATAAATGGGATAATTGATCTTAATAGGTTAATTGCAAACAACATGTTTAAGATATTTAAATAATTGCAAAGTAATACAATTTACCTAAAATAGAAGGACGGCAATATTTGGGAAATATTGTAGAGAAGACGATAGGCCTGTAAATTAAAGGGCTCTGGAAGAAGCAGATTATCTGGAGCATTTTCAGTCAGGATTCAGGCCTTGTACAGTACAGAGATAGTATTAACTGTGCTTGTGGTGACCAGATGACCAGTATGGAGGTGGTGTAATTCTCTTGTTCCTGCTTGATCACTAGTTAATCTTTGATATAATCAATTATGGTATCCCCTTCCAACTTCTTGGATTGAAAGCAGGGGCACAATATTTCCATGGTTCTCCTTTTTTGAGGTTATTTTCAGTGGGTAAGAGAGAAGAGGTGGACCCCAAGACTCCTTTTTATCGTTTTTCAGAGTTCAATACTCCTAGTTCCTATTTAATATCTATATAAGGCTTCTGGTTAAGATAATCTATGGGCATGAGCTCAGGCATTATCAGCTTGCAGACACTGTATCTTGTATCTTATGTATTTTGACCTCTAGCCAACCAAGTGATGCTATTGAGAATCTGATTGTCTGGAGGTTGTTAATATGTGAATAAAAAGGAATGTTCATTTATTTAGTGTATGGCATATCATACATGGATCGGTCAGAGTAATATTTTACCTAGATTAAAAAAAAACATAAAATATGCTGTGTAGAAGGATATCTGTATTCAGATATCAATGTCTAGGCCATCTAATCACTGATACACAGCATCATTTATATGAAAAAAAATATTGGGCCTGTATATGCTGTCAGGTTACAGCTGGTCACAATGTGTTCTACAGTTTGACATGGCTTCTCACAGCTGTATTATGCCCCGTTTATACAGTGAGTCCTAACAGATGACATGTGAGGAGTGAATCCTATTCAGATTGTCCATTCCTGGTATGGTAGTTCAAATCCTGGTACCTTTTTATGGGGTCATTTATGTCTTCCTATGTCTGGATGTTCAGCAACCCATTTAGCTTTCCATTGGGAATTGATGCCCAGTCTGTCAATTATACATGGTCTAACTATACTAAATTTATAATCCATAAACTGTGTGGCTCATAGTCAGTTTAATACTAAAAGGAAAAGAAAAGCATGGATTGTAATTATAGTATAGTTAGACCATGCATAATTGACAGACTGGATTTTATCATAGATTTTAACTATTATATTATTTTATACTGGAATTTTAAATGGCATATTTACTGTTTTTATTTGTCCTGGTCTCTAGTTTAGTCTATGACTGTAATAAATTGAATTGAGTCGAACTGATGTCAAAGTTGTTGAGTATATGTTGTACAGTGCCAGTGGAAGCTTCCTGGATTTGAACCTGGATTTGATAAATGAGGAGGGTTGGTGTGTACTGGTAAAAGTGAGTTGTTCATAATTTTTCTGTATTCTCTCACTAGTGCATGTTGCCTTTGTAAGGTATTATATATAGGCAAGACAAACCAACTGTACAGATACAGACTAGGTGAAATTTGGCTTGATGCCAGTAACTGTGAGAGGGATCTTGGAGTCCAGGTGGATAGTTGCTTAGAAAGGAGCCAGCAGTGTGCTGCAGCTGCCAAAAAAGCCAATCCAATTCTTCTCTGCATTAATAGAGGGATAGAATCAAGATCACATGAGATTCTAGTACTGCTTTAGAAAGCCTTAGTAAGACCACACTTGGAATACTGCATCCAGTTCTGGTCACCACAATATAAAAAAAGACATTAAGACTCTGGAAAAGTGTGCAGAGAAGAGCAACAAAGATGATTAGAGGGCTTGTGTCTAAAACATGAAGAACAGTTGCAGAAATTGGGTATGTCTAGTTTAGTGAAAAGAAGGACTAGCTGAGATATGATAGCAGTGTTCCAATAGTTGAGGGGCTGCCACAAAGATGAGGGGGTCAAACTATTTTCCAAAGCACCAGAAGGCAAGGCAAGAAACAAGGGCTGGAAAATAATCAAGGCGAGAATCAGCTTAGAACTAAGGAGAAATTTCCTGACAGTGAGAACAATCAACCAGTGGAATTGCTTGTCTTCTATAGTAGGTGCCCCATCACTGGAGGCTTTCAAGAAGAGACTGGACAGCTTTGTCTGAAATGGTAGGGTCCCTTGCTTGAAATGTGGTGTTGAACTGGATGACCTCCAAGGTCCCTTCCAACTCTCTTGTTTTGTATTCTATTATTTCCTTTCCTTTCCTTTCCTTTCCTTTCCTTTCCTTTCCTCTCCTCTCCTCTCCTCTCCTCTCCTCTCCTCTCCTCTCTTCCCCCCTCTCCTCTCCTCTCCCCCCTCCCCTCTCCCCTCTCCCCTCTCCTTTCTCCTCTCTTCTATTACATTCCATTCACTTACGATCCCCATGATGTCACTGACTCTGGCATCTAGTATGGCAGCTCTTAAGCCATACAGTGGCATATTTTGCTGCGGAGTAGACCAGCTCTAGTGCTGATGACCTGAAAGTGGCAGCT